CCCCAAAACCCCAAAACCCCAAAACCCCAAATCTAAGAAATTGAATCAATAAAAATTAAAATCTAAACTATATTATTTTTAATAATCATAACTAATCTAAGCTTTTTATCTTACTTATATAATACCGAGTAGATCATCACTCGTGATTTATATCTTTAGGGTCATTTAGAATGTTTGTATATTACCGAGAAATATTTTTCTACTAAATTGCTATCATTTCTCTAATTTCATTTCTTAAAATTTCCGTTTATAAAAGCTAGGCCGACTTCAATTCACCTAATTTAATGTTTACATCTTTCAGATTATCTTTTGTTTATTTCAAATCTTGTTTTAAAATCGAATTCTCTGTTGATAAGAGCTTCATAGAAGTCCTAAATTCTTCAACAAATTCATATCTTTTATCTTCTTCTGTAGTTTTCTGGGAGAGCTTTTTAAATATAGTCACAAATTTAGTTTTATTATCTGCTTTATTCCAGGATTAAGGTATTACAAAAGCATTTTCATATATTATTCTAGATTTTTCTTAATAAGCTGCAAGTCTTGAATTTTGATTGACAGTTTCATATGTTTTTGAGACTATTGAAATCAATAAATTTAACATAACAATTTGAGTTATCAATCCAGTAAGCATAAACAAAATCCAAACAATAGTTGGGGAAATATTGTTCTCATATTTACTTGCATCAATATCAGTAATACTTAATCTATAAGTATATATAAATGCAGTGAACATAGAATCTACTATTTGGCCATCTTAGTCACTATAAAATGAAAGTCTTAAAAATGTCTCTCCAAAAGCTAAATAACTAATTACTAAAAGCAGTAAAAACCATCTCATATCCCAAAATACAGTTATAATTATTCTTATTAGATAGCTAGTGGAATCAAATATTCTCAAGTGATATAAGAAGGAGAGCCATAGGATTAGACTAGCCAGACTATGAATAACTGGCAGTCCATTCTAATTAACGAAAGATTCTTTTCCATCTAAGAAATAATGGAAGCAGACTGTTGTTGATATTAAAGCTATCTGTAAAAGATCATTGTAATTCTTATATGATCTAAAGTAATTCCATTTAGTAAACTATAACTGCCTATATTCATTAACCAAGAAATAAAACTGAATAGTCAAGATAAATACTAAAAGAGCTAATCCAGTGTCATACTGCTTTGAATGGAACTCATTTTTTATTAATAAGTTTGAATAGACCAAAAAAATTAAATGGTTGATTAGTTGTGGAATGTAAAGATAGTAAATTGTGCACTTTTTAGTAAGTTTCCATTAGAAATCTATCAAGTATTGTATAGTGCTAATTTTAAATACATCTAATGAGTTACATCTAGATAGCTTTAGATATAGTTCCTAGCTTAATTCATTGGCATAGATATTTAATCTAGGTAAGTCTAAAAGCATAATTTTAATATCAGATTGAAACTTGCCCTACTCAAAAAATTTTTCCTTAAATTCATCTCTTCTTGGCCAGATGTTTGTAAGCTTTAATTTATAATTCTTTTAAGGATCTACTTAAATTACACCACGCTTATATTAAGCTAGAATTTATGTGGTAATGATTCTTGATTCCAAGTAGATTTTAAGAGCGGGTAACTCTGTTTAAATCAATTTTGGCAGTATTTCCACCACATTAAAAGAATGCTGATAAAATGGGTGATTGGACAAGAGTTTCAAAAATATCTCGATGGCGAAATAATTTTTAGTATCAAGACAAAGGTGTAAAGGGGTTAAGCCAGATGCATTTTTGATAAACAAGTAGTCTGATTACTTGCTGATTCTTTAATAAAGAGCATCTAATATCTCATTTCGATTAGCAATCAGATGCAGAAATGTATCTCCATCTGGGAATACTTGCAAAAGCATCAAGTGTAAGTCATCATCAGTTATTTCCTTTATGGTCGAGAGATTGTGATCATCTCTTACTTTTAGAGAAAGCATCCAATGATAATGAGTAAAGCTAAATTGAAGCATTGGCAGATAATTGGTAAAGTGATCACTCCATGAGTATTAAAAATCAGTCATTAATATATGAAACTCGCATTAATCTCTCTATTTCATTGAACACTTTTACTATTGAAATTAAATAGAAAAATCTTACTTAGCACTCTATGAACTTGTTTTTTAGAAAATGAAGTTTCTTCAGAACTTCATCTTAATTACTAGTTTACAGATTCAAATGATAGCCGTTTCCAATCTATTTATTGTGCCCATAATAAGAATTAATGTCTATTATGGAATAGTAGATCTTGTAAAAATCATTAAACACATCAACAACTTTTTCTATCCCCTATTCATGATAGAGGGCAATCGATTTATCATCCATCCATTTGAAGTAAAGAAATTAATTAAGTTTTGATTAATCTGTAAGGGAATTCGGGATTTCTTTAAATACTTATCCATCAAATGAATTCTTAATTAAGTACTTTTTGCTCTTAACTTCAAAGTCTAGATAATATTTGAGATTAGGACTGACAATAGAGTTATTGAGGTTAAATTTCCAGTTATTTGATTCAAGATGAGATTAGTGCGTGATCTACTCAAATATATATATCCCACTTTCATCAAAGTATTCTTCTCTTGAATATAGTTCATAAGTAGATTAGTCAATCATCATTGAAAAATTTTCACTAAATTTGAATTGCTGTTTATACTCCGGCATTAGAAAGGTAAGTAATATTTGGATTTAAGATTTACTAACTATTTCTACTACTTTGTAAAGTCTTAACCTGGAATTTTTTTCAAGTCTCAATATTTGCCCCTTGTATGTGTCATCTTGCATTATAACTCTATGAGGCTCACTAGATGCTCTTATTTGCTCAACATTTATACTTTTTTAGCCTAATTATCTTTTGGAGATTTTGTGCTAGCTTATTATTTTCCCAGTAACTTCACTCATTGTTGTTAGCTAGAAGTTATTATCAATCATAACAGTACAGCCATCTATTCTTTTCCAAGCAAAAATTTGATACTTTTAAGTTTCAAAAATATAAGGTAGAAAGCTATTTTAGTTAGGCTAGTTAAAAATTCTAACAATGTGAGTTCTTTCCAGTATACCAACTCTATTGCCAACACAGACAATTTTTTTTCCAAAAATATTATCAGATATCTAAATTTTTGTAGGGAAATTTTGAATGTAATGGTCAATCTTTCTGTAAGTAAATTTGCCCACATAATTAATCTCATAAATTAGTTCCCCATGGATAACTGGATGATTCAACCACGATAGTGGTGGAAGAGTTTTAATCTCATTTGTAGACTTATCAATCTCATATGTTCTCATTTAACCTATGTAGTTATCATATTTTTAGAAGTATATCTTTGTCTTTGACTTATTCTTAAATGCTAGCCACTCATCCGTCCGAAAATTATCCTTTAATCTATCAAATTAATTTGTGATGACTTTTCTAATATTTTCTCTTTCAATATATATCGTCCTAAGTATTCCGAGTCTGAAGTTGAATAATAAAATTTTGTCATGCACTGACTTCTTAGCTTTATAGTTTACAAGTACATCATCCTCTAAAAATCATTTTATATATATTTATGGATCTTACCTTCTAAAAAGTCAGTGTACTCAAGTGAATTTTTCCCTTTTATTCTAAATATTTTATTGCCTAATGCTGTTTTTGTTATTACGTATAATGCTTTCTCATTTACCTCAGCTTACAAGAACTCACCTTCAACACCTGGAATTAATTCAAGTTCATATTAAGCACCAACTAAGAACAAGACATTAGTTTGGCTCTTGACGATAATGTATACTTAACCATTGATTTGCAGTATTTTTTATACTTCATTATTTAAAAATGCTTCATGTATCACTGAGCTGGTATTTATGTCCACAATTCTAACATAATTCAATCTAGTGACAAACAGTTTATCATTATGAAAAGTGAATTGACTCCCACAAACTAATCTTCGTTTGATGCTCATCCATTCCTTAGGATGATATTTTAAAGTCATAAGATCTGAGATTTAATCATGCGATACCCATCTTATTTGATTGATCTATTTTTCTCAAATTGAATGCATATACATATCCTTTTGATTGAACCAAATGTCATCATATATCACTAGTTAAAATTGTAAATATTCTTGAAAGTTTAATATTCTTACCATCAGTCTTAGTGTAAATAATCTTTCCATTCTTAAATATATCTACTGCTCCTGATTTTCTAAGGGATAACACAGTGTTATACTCATAGTCGAAATAAATCTTTTAAATGTTATCCTATCTTACTTCGAATTGTCTTTGAGTTATAGTTTTCTTTAAGCTGATCCTATTGTTTTTGAAAAGTATTTTCTCAATAAGTATTGTATTGTCTGAGCATTCCATTATTATATTAAAATGGTCTGTTTGATCATAGAAAACTTCAAGAATTTTCTTAAAACCCACCATTTCTTACTTTTCAATAAATGATCTATTCGTATTATTAGCAGAATCTTCAGATATTGTATAAGAGTAAGATAAACTTGAAAAGGACTAGGAGACTTCGTACTTCTAGCCCTTCTACCTTAATTCAAGAGTCATAGTGTCTTCTATGCCAGCATCTAAAAGCATCATGTCCACAATTTTAATGACATTAAAACTAGCTTATACACAGAAATTTTTGCTAGAGCTTAATTTGTCAACTATATTAATCTAGAATATAAAGCATATTTTACATTGGGGCTATGCAGAAAAATCATTTATTTTAAACTATTGAATCCTGCCGTTTTTAAAGATTTAGTAGATATGTATTTTATTAGAATCCTTCTCCTCAGGATGAAATTTGATTGTTGCTATTTGAATGGGATAATGATGGTCAATTTGCCAACACTTGATTTCATCTATATAATTCAGTATGAGATCATGTATTGTCTTACATTGAAGTGAAAATTAGAGTACTTTAGATCGATTTTTCCATATTTAAAGCAAAAACCTTGCTCCAAAGCATTCTTAGATTTTTTCATGATTAAGTTAAAGCAAGACAAGACCAACATTATACCTGTAATAAATGTTTTTCACTTCAATATAGGGGTCTGTAAGTTATATTTGGATAAATATGTTACTTGAAACGTCAACAGAAATAGAAGAATCATGGATAAAGTCATGAGGACTGTAGGATTTAATCGGAAACATTTTCCTCTCGTCTTCTACAACATCTGGCTCATCAGTTCAGGATTTATTTATAGGTGTAAAAGAAAAGTCCTATTTTTTGAATTTCGCCTCAACGAAAGAATTTTAGCTAAACATTTAAATTGTATTTATAATATTCATTGGCTTGTTAGAAATATTAAGTTTTTATTGCATATATGTATTTACTCAAGTTATTTATTATGTATCCCAATGCTACTTTTATTTGCAAGCTATGGGGTTTTGGGGTTTTGGGGTTTTGGGG